TACACTCGGAAAGATGGCATTGATTATAAAGAGACCTTTTCACTTGTCTCAAAGAAATATTCATTAAGAATAATTTTAGCATTAGTGGCTCAATTTGATTTAGAGCTACATAAGATGGATTGAAAATGGCCTTTCCGAATGGGGATCTTAAGGAGGAAGTTTATATGGATCAACTTGAAAGTTTTTCCATTGAAGGTAAAGAAAGTATGGTGTGTAAATTGAAGAAGTCAATATATGGACTTAAACAAGCTTTCGAGCAATGATATATTAAGTTTAATAATACCATTACCTCTTTCGATTTTAAGAAAATCACTATTAATCGATGTATTTACCGAAAGATTAGTGGGAGTAAGTTTATATTTCTAGTTCTATATGTTGATGACATTTTGCTTGCTGCTAATGATTTGGGTTTATTACATAAGATTAAATAATTTATTTCTAAGAGTTTTGCAATGAAAGATATGGGAGAGGCATCCTATTTGATTGGAATTTCAATATTCAGTAAGAGATCGAAGGTTTATTAAGATTGTCTCAAAAAGCCTATATTGAGAAAATTCTTAAGAAGTTTAACATGAGCGAAGTGCTCGGCGAGTGTAGTCCTTATTCAAAAGGGAGATAAATTTAGTCTTATGCAATGTCAAAAGAATGATGTGGAACATAAGGAAATGAAAACAATTCCATATGCTTCGTTGTGGGCGGTTTGATGTACCTACAAACACGTACTAGACCAGACATCGGTTTTACGATAGGGATGCTTGGGTAGATATCAAAGTAATCTTGGTATTGATCATTGGAAAGCTGCAAAGAAAGTGTTGAGATACCTTCGAGGAACAAAGGATTATATGCTCACATACAAGAGGTCCGATCACTTAGAAGTGATTGGATATTCGAATTCGATTTTCTTGGGTGTGTTGAGAGTAAAAAGTCAACGTTTGGCTATTTATTCCTATTTGTAGAAGGAGCAATCTCATGGAAAAGTGCCAAACAGATCTATCATTGCTTTATCCACTATGGAAGCGAGAATTTGTAGCTTGTTATGAGGCTATAATTCATGTATTATGGTCGCGAAACTTTATTTCGGGGCTTGGGGTTGTCGACACGATAAGCAAGCCGTTGAGAATTTATTGTGATAATTCTGCAGCGAGTTTTTTTCTCTAAAAATGGCAAATACTCTAGAGGTGCAAAACACATGAAATTAAAGTATTTTATTATTAAAGAGGATATTCGAAACAAAGAGTGTATATAGAACATATTAGGACGGATCTCATGGTTGTAGATCCTCTAACTAAGGGTTTACAACCAAAGACTTTCAAAAAACATGTGCTTAGGACGAGTCTTGGTTATATTGATGATTGATGATGATGTTTTAACACTCTTGAGCTCAATAATGATATATTTCTGAATTTTATATTTCTTATTCATTATGTTTATGTATACATGATTGTTCGAATAAGAAATTTGTATGTATTTTCATAACAAGTATGTGGACTATATGTTGTTTATATGCAACTTATGAACCTAACATAATAAGTTCTTAATGTAGTGGTATATGGAAGGGAGTATACAACTATACCGTGTATGATCACCATAACTCACATTTTGTGATTTGTTGTGTTGAGGTGCATAGGATGTTATCGGTTTATAAGATTTAATTTTTGCTAGCCTTATGTTATACTATTAAATGTAATAATGAAACATCCGACCAATGGGAGAATGTAAGAAATCTGGCCTAATGTTATGGCACATATTTTTGTAAGCCCACATTAAGTTGGTTTAGGATTTTCTTAATTTAATAGTATGTTAAATCTGGATCGTTAATTTAGTACTTGATGGACATACAAAATTTAATGTTAACGGGTATATAAACTAGTCCTCTCTCTAACCTAAAGAGGTATGCAAACAAAACACAAGATACAAAACGCACGTATTTTGGCTATCCATCAAACCATCCGTTACGAGAAAGAGGGTTAAGGAAGAGAAACTAATTTACAATGTTCGTGATTGTTGAAAGCTCTCTCTACATCATGTTGAATTTCACTCAAGGTAAGTAATTTATTCGCTTCATCTATATGATTATTATTATATTCAAGATCCTAAATGGGCATGAATGATTTATGTGTTGATCATTGCATGGTATGATTTATGTTTTGATCTTTAAGCATGAGGTTTACAGTTGGCTCCTACGGTTTCATGTTGAATAGGATTAATTCCCTTTTACTTTCAAATGAAATTTATATTTTAACACCATGGAATTGACTTAAAGTTTACTTGAAAGATGTAGTTGCAAAGGAGAATATCTCATGTTAAATTTCTAAGAGAAAAATGAGTAATCAATGAATATGTATAGATGCTTAATGAATTTATTTTGGGGGAAAAAGATGGATATCATATCTTGACTAGTAAAAATAATAAAATATTTTTATTTAAATTAAAAAAAATACAATTCTATCTTGCTTTTCTCTTTTCTCTTTGTATTTATCACCTCTACTTGTAAAGTCATTGTAAAATTTCTCCATGCCTAGCATTATTTAGTGGATTAGTGTAAATAATTGAATGCTTGAATAATTTTTCAGAACTTTCACCTAGAATTTATGCAATATATATGGACAATGATCCAAATCTAATATAAATGGAAAAATTATGAGGTCAAATGATATGATACCTTTATTATCAAATAACAAGAAATTTATGTTTTACTTATAGCAAAATTATTTTACCCATAGAATTAGAGTTCGATATGATTAAAAAAAAAAAGAATAGCAATTAATATTGTCGTCGAATTATAACAAAATATTTCAAAGCAAAGGATAAAAGGTGGTGTTATCTCTTTTCTTGTAAATTTAAAATTCTTGTATTAACGTCAATTTCCACAAGAATGTTTAACAAAAATGACCGAGCAATTCTATTAGGTTTTAAGTAGTAGTAATTCAAGTATCCTTTTAAAATTAGTTACGGCGTCTACATTTATCTTTCCGATTGGAGTAGAAGAGATCCTTCGGTTCCTCTAAAAGTACTTGATACTCTTAAAAGAGCACGTACAACTACGGACGGCAAGTATACTACATCATATGTAAAATACTCATAATTTCGTGTAAGCAGATAGCAAGCATTATTCCTTTCGAATATGGATTTCTAAAAGGATAGATTATCATAATTATTAATTATAATAGTCGATCACTCAATTAAGAAACTCTAACAAGGGGTGTTAGAGCATCTCCAATGCTCTCTTTATATTAAGATTTTTCTTTATAATAAAGAAGTTTGACCTAAATTTCATCTCCAATGCTCTCTTACTCGCAATCTCTATCTTTAAAAGTAAGACACAAAGTGTCTTTGGCTCTTCAATACTATAGAGTACAAATGACTCTTTATCTTATATTTCATTATTAAAAATTACTATTTTTTATGCCACTCAATCTCTTCGCCAACGGTTTTCTACGAGATTAACGAGAAAAAAGGAGGAAAATTTTCATAATTAAATGTTTTATGAATTTTATAAAAATAAAGAATTAAAGTAAAGAGTAACATTAGAGAGGACATTGATCTTCAATCTATATAATTAATGATGCTCTCTATTTATATTAAAAGTGCTAACTAAAAGTAGAGAGCACCATTGGAGATGCTCTTATTTTGAAAACTTTAATTGTTTTATGCTAATTTTAAAGTCTCAAAACGTTTTCATTGAATTCTGATCATGTTTTGGATATTGAAGAAAAAATCGTTTTGCTGACTGAAACCAAATTTTAAAGTTTTCGGTGGTATGGTTGTGAGTTATGACTTGGAATCAAACAGTTGCATCTATATATGTGACCATGCGCTACGTACGTACCTTGTCAGGAACACATTCTTGGCTTAGTCTTTTTCCTTAACACGATAATAGTAGCTAGAAAGTATCATAAAATTAAACCCATGAAATTAATTCTCAGATTGTGAAACGACAATAATGTACCACTAGTAATCTATGAAGGGCAAATAAGCCATAGCTAGCTACCTTCTACGTACGTTAACTTTTTAGGGCAAATATTTGACCTTAGAGTGAAAGACGTTTCTCGAACAAAGGGGGTGGTGGAATCGTGCTCGCAACTTTCAGTCAGCACTCAGCGTAGTCATTGTCTACATCTGCCTCTTTAACTTTCTTTCTTTCTTTCTTTTTTGGGAAGTTACCGATTTAGGTAAATTTTTGTGAGAAATCTATGGGCAGGACATTTTTTTTCAATCAGAATAATTGGATTCCAGCTTAAACAATTAATCTAATAATATGCGGCTCTAGTTTCTTTAATTGCCACTAGCAATGTCAAAATTATGTATTCAACGAATATTATTTATCAATGATCTAGCACACACCCACCCAACACCACCATTACCCTCCCCCTAAAGTCTGCTAAATTTGGGAAGATGAATTAACTCGCCATGTAAGAAGAAGATGATTGTGTTGCGTTCATTAAAAAAAATAAAAGATGGTTGTGTTTGGGGCTGTGTGTGTGTGTGTATATATATATATATATATAACACATTACTTAGGTTACAAGAGCATGGGGTTATATATTTTGGGCCGAAATTTGATGAGCTCAAGATGAAGCCCTTCTATAGCCTAATGCACTTAGCCCAAACAAAAAGCACCTAACCCTAGCCTCTGCAAATTACAACCAAACATGGCCCTTGTCTAAACAAAATCCAACCGGAAAATGAAAAAACATAGTGGAGCCGGTCTTGATCCAAACGTGGTCAGAAGCAGCCATCCACGTGTCCACCCTAAACAATGGCATGGCAGATTTTGGGGCTTTAAAATAAAAACAAAGTATTTGATCTTTTGAAAATACCGTCCGTTACATTTCCCTCCACACATTTACCCATTGCCTTATCCCTTTCCAATTCTCTCCCCTTCAAAATATCATCACATAATGACACCCCCATTAACCAAAATCACCAAATCAACAAAACAAACACTCACCTGAAGAAACCACAGCACAGAGTCCTCAATACTGTTTTTTTCTGTTTCAATGTCTAGCAAATTGCCTTTCACTCTGACATCTCCTCGAGTCTTCACTGCTCCTATTCAAAAGCCATTCATCTCTTCTTCATCATCAGCATCATTGCCATCATTACCATCCCCTTCTTGCTCTACCAGGGTTCAATTCAATGGAAAACTGCTTTCTCTTAGGCGCAGAATGCTTTTACTTCCCACCAAGGCCACTGCTGACCAACAAGCTGGTTTGTCTCGTCATCTCTTTCGACCATGCATGCATGTTCATTCAATTTTGTCAATCGTTGTTGATCACGATCATTTGCTAGTTTGTTCTATTAATTAGAGTTTCACCATGTTTTAAATTGTTAAGTTTAGCTTTTAGTGCAATAGAATAATATATATATACACACGCACGCACGCACTTTCAATCTATTTAAGGGGTATATATTTTCGTTACTATTGAAAGAAATTACTGCTTGGTGGGAAGTGTATCGATAGAATTTCCATGCTAAAAGATAGATTAGGTTTAATCTTGAAATCCAAGGTCATAGAAATCAGGAATTTCTGCTGTTTTGTTCTTTTGGTGAATGAAATTAATTCATTTCAGTCATCAAAAAATGAGAGGAAAATAAATATAAGAGCATCTGCTGACTACAACATTCTTTTTCAGATCAAGCCCAAGAAGATGAGACGGTCGATAGTAAAATCTTGCAATACTGTAGCATAGACAAAAAAGATAAGAAGTCGTTGGGTGAAATGGAGCAAGAGTTTCTGCAAGCACTACAAGTGAGTTCCAGCAATTAATCAGTTTCATTTCATTATTCTATCCAATGCATAACATTGTATGAACTTTACTCTTTTCTTTTTTCTTTTTTTCTTTTTTCTTTCTTTCTTTTTAACATATTGTAGGCATTTTATTACGAGGGAAAATCTATAATGTCAAATGAAGAATTTGATAATCTCAAGGAAGAACTAATGTGGGAAGGAAGCAGCGTGGTTATGCTAAGTATGGGCTAATCAATTTTCATAATGAAGTCCCCCTAGCCTATTTGTTGAATGGCATTCATTGTCACAATGATGGTTTTTGCTGTATGTGTATATCTCAGGTTCTGATGAACAGAAGTTTCTTGAGGCCTCGATGGCTTATGTATCAGGAAATCCAATCATGAGTGATGAAGAGTATGATGAGCTGAAACAGAGATTAAAGGTCTGCAGTGCTTGGTTATTTTCATCTCCTTGCAAGAATATGACATTGCATAACTGCCAATGAGAAGTTGGAAAGAATTTGGAAATCTTTCATCACCCTCTATATTTTCGGTCATGTCAGATCCATTTACTACATTTTTTCCTATTATAAAGAATGTCTGCAGTGGCAATTGATATTATGCTGCCAGTTCTATTTTTTTCATGCTGCCTAATTTTACTAATACCATGTGTTACTTACCATAATTATCCTACAGTCAGAAGGCAGCGAAATAGTTGTCGAGGGTCCGAGATGCAGTCTCCGTAGTAGAAAGGTGTGTGTTTGTTGTCTACAATTCTCCTAGTTTTGGGCAATGACCAATCACTACTTCGAATTCTGCACAAGTACTAATCTCTGCATGCAGGATTAGCCTAACATAATTAAGATGCAAACTTTCTTCCCACAGGTTTACAGTGACCTGTCTGTTGACTATCTGAAGATGTTCCTGTTGAACGTACCAGCAACCGTTGTTGCACTAGGCTTGTAAGTAACACTACTCTTCTGTCTCTCGAAAGAACTACATCTCTTCGGTACCACCGGATAAAAAAGTACCATAAATTATTAAAGAGCCACCCTTGTCCTTCTCTTTGTTCATTTTCTGTAAGTGGAGGAGCCTCCTTCCAAATCATGGTGAAGGTTTTACTTAATGATTTTGATCTACTTTGCCAGCAACTGGTGGGGTCTAATTTTCCTTGGGTTGGTTGTCTTCACAGGTTTTTCTTCTTGGATGATCTCACTGGTTTTGAAATCACTTATCTTTTGGAGGTACATAGTCACCTCCTCTCAAGACTTTATAATTAAAGCACTGATATGTACGCATTTCATGATATTGTTCAAACCACGGGTGAGACCGGATTGATTTTTAATCTTCCTTTTGCATTAGAGACATATTTAATCCTTATAAATGGCCCGTCACAAAGAGAAGGAAAAGAATCAATCATTTAATCGATCTTTTATATCTGTGTGATTTTGTAAATTGTTGAGTTGCAGCTACCAGAGCCATTCAGTTTCCTTTTCACTTGGTTTGCTGCTGTGCCCCTCATTGTTTGGTTAGCTCTGACACTAACAAATGCAATTGTGAAAGACTTTTTGATCTTGAAGGTATAATTTGCGTTCATGCCTCGTTTTTTAGACTCTAATGAGCAGCCACATAATGCAACAAGCTACAAATTGCAAAATTACTGATGAATAATGACATGTTTATAGGGCCCATGTCCCAACTGTGGCACAGAGAATGGCTCCTTCTTTGGAACCATATTGTCTATTTCAAGTGGTGGAACCAGCAACACCCTTAGGTGCTCGAAGTAAGTTCAGTGCTATTTGCTAACCACATTGCTCAATGGACCTTGTGGCTTTGATGAGTGACATTGCTGCAATATTTTGCTTCAGTTGTTCGACTGAATTGGTGTACAATTCAAAAACACGGTTGATCACACTGCCAGAAGGAAGCGAAGCTTGATTAGAGGTTAAGTACCTTATCTATTATCTGCTTAAACTCTGAAGTGTCTCGTGCTTCGTACTTGATATAAATATATAATTAGCGCTCAAAATTTGATTTCACTCTTCATCCTTATCGACACAATATCCTGTGGATAATCGTAAATTTCATGGCTATTGAATGCAGGAACAGTCCATTTAAGCGATATACAGTAGTACAACTGCTACTAACTTGTGCGTTTGGAAGCGAAGAGTTTGCCTTATGCAGAAATCTGGCGAACGATTATAGGAGAGAATTTGCGTACACTTTGTATCTTAATCATATCATTGTGTTAATATTGTAAATGCAAGTACAAAAATGTTTTATGCATCTACCTATCCCAGGCTCGTTAGTTAGAAGCTGAGAGCAGCTTGTTGCCGTAGAGTTATATAATGGAATACTGAATCGTTACCTTCCTGTCATCATTGGCAAAACTAACACCACAGTAGCTGCTCGGTTGGGTTTCCTAGGAGAGCTAACACCCAATATGAGAACCATGATTTTGTTTACCATCAGGGCAGATGCCACATTTTTTCATAAAGATTTTAATGTCCACAACATTACTCGAATACATAATTATTCTCGCAGTTTGTAAAATTTCAATCTCCTAAACTGTAACCTGAACACTCTAACCAAAAGTATAATTGAACAACCTTTGGAGGGATAACTACTACAAGAAGCTGGTTCCAGTTATCCATACCAAAATCCAACAAGTATCTCATGTTTTCATTAGTTAATCCATTTTCTTGGCGCCAACTGCCAACAGTTTGTGTGCTGAACAAATGCCGAAATGTCTAACACAACTTCAACCATTTCTATGTCCTTTTTTCACGAGAATTCATAGACCTGAAGAATTACTAAACCCCGATGTTTATGATTTAGACAACCCATAATGTGACAATACTAGCATTCTCACAGCAGTTCATTGCAACACCCTCAAGGCATTCAAATTAATTTCAAACACAAGCAAGATGAATATGCGCTCCATTCTGCAAAAACCTTCCCCTTACATGATTGCTACATCCAAGTAATCTCCAATCTACAATGTGGGAATGAGAACAATGGGACACCCAATATCAAGTGTTTGTCAGATACATAAACAAAAAAGAAGCTTTTGGATGATTCAGCAAACTAGGACAATTTAGTTTTACCTGGAAGTTGAGTTCAGCCAATGCTTTGAGATCATCTGGTCTTCTCCCACTTGAATGTGTCATCCCCACCTTATAAAAGAAAACAAAAGCCAATGAGATGAACAACTTTCTATAAAAATAATTGGGATTTTTTGCATTTGTGTTTAAAGTAACTTTTGTTTATGATATTTGCTTCCATTTACTCATCAGAGTGTATGCCCAGAACTCTGATAAATGGCAACATGACGTAGGATATTTCAGAGGAGTAGAAACAGCATCAATTAGAAAAGCAGCACATACCACTCTCAACACAAAACGACCATGTTTATCAGGATAGACAAAAGCAAATGATAGTTTTGCATTTCTTCTCCTTGCCTCTGGAGCAACCTCTTTGACCTGATAAAGCAAACTTGAATTTACTACACTGTAAATAAGATCAGCTTCCTCAGCCACAGATGGGACTGTTTTTTCCTTCTTTTTTTATGGAGTGGGTGAAGTGTAGAGGATAGATAAAAAGCAACATACAAGATCAGTTAACTCGCGAAGTGTTGCATCTTTCCACGTATAAATTTGAACCTCATCTTTCGGCTCCTTGCCTCTCACGACAAAATCTTCTAGCTTATGATGACTTCCAATCTGCAGAAAATTAGAAAGAAATCAGATACAATGTGAATTCATCAATTTAGTAAGCGATTTCATTCAGGATTGATGCTTATTCAAACAATCAAATTTGATCATTTTAACAACTAGTTAGAGGTCTTATCTATTCATTAACCAATCACAATTCAAAGAATCGGCTGTCTTATTATTGATTTCTGTCTGGAATGCGAGATAAGGGAAGATTTTCACACTAGCTCTAAAATTGAATGACAAAATGATCCTTGAATAGCTTAGCTTAAGAAAGGAGGAGAAGAAAGCGGCAGTGGGGTTGGGGAGCCCTTAAATAAATCTTGCTTGCTGCTAAAAGTAATGGTAACACAAATTCCTTTGCACTACAACATTATCATCCAAGGCTATATAAATTGCTGGTTCAAGGAAATGATATTCTTCAAACTGCCTGAATCTTCTCTACCTCTAGTACTTTTGGAGCCTTCTTTTGGCAAGGAAAGTTACCATCACCACTACCTAATATCCAATTTTTTAAAATTCACGAAAACTTCTGACCAATCAATTCCGAGGAGATTAGAATTCGGTTTTCCTAAGGGAAGGAGAAAATTCACTACATTCTAAACCAATTCCAGGAATTCTTGGTAGAATCCACAGCCCAAGCCCAACAAACCCCCCCCCCCCCCCCCCCCAACAAAAACCCTAGTACCTGCACAGTTTGCATTACTAACTCTTTTATCATACTTATCCATCATCAGATGCCTTTAAGTGCGAAAGAGGGCTTTTCCAAGTGCTACAAACAGCTAAAGGCTACAATTTAAAAAAACAAGGGCACTTTTGGTCCTAGACCCAGTACGGAAAACACATTAGGCATGCAATTTTCGAAGAAAAATTGAAGTTTTAAATTAATTTGAGCGGGGAAAATGAAAATAAATAAATAACACAACTTTCATAGCATAATAGAACACTAATAATCAAAGACGAAATCTTTATTAAAAAAATGAAAGTGCAAGTACCTTAGTGAAAACTCGAAGCAATAAAGGGCAAGTCTGCATTTTCAACAAATCAAATACATAAATATCAGTCCACAACTTCAAAAATAAATACACTATTAACAGGGAACACAAACATTACGATATGACCTTTTCACGATCAATGGGTTCGAGGTGGAGACGAGGAGGAGGCGGCGTAGGGTAGGCCCGACTTGGAGGATGAAGAGGTCTATTATGGGCTGCGCCACCACCCATGTCGCCTTCTCTGTCTCTGCTGCCCTTCTTCTCCATCAAAGCTCTTTCACTAACACTTTTTCGTTACTTTGAAGAGGTAAGCAAAGTCAGGAAAACGTCAGTTATGAAGCTCTATTAATTATGGGCCCCCTCATACCTTTTCTCTTCATTAGTGGCCCACATTTTGTTTATGGGCCAATTAATTTTTACAAAGCGTAAGCCTATTTCTTTTGTTTTCTTTTCTTTCTCCGTCCTAATATAATAAAAATCTTCTTCAATTTGTCCTTTATATGTTTAATTTAGTCAATTTTATCGTGAGTTAAGTTTTTAATCTATTTTTTTATAAGATTTTTAAGTCAAACCACTTGTATTTTTGTCTGGCTTTTATGGATACTTTAGAAATAAAAAAATAGCTATGAACAAATTATGTGATTAATTCTGATAATTTGACTCAAAAAGTTTATTAAAATAATAGATTTAAAACTTAACATATATTTAAAAATAAAATTAGATCTAGAATTGGTGAAGAAAAAATAATGTTGTCTCGCCAGCGACGATTCACTAATATAATAAAAAGATGCTCTTTACAACGAAAGGAGAGGAAAAAACTTAGAAATTTCTAACATTATCTTAACAAATATGGTTTTAGATAATCTTGTTTGGTATTATTTTATTATGGTTCATACAATATATATTGTTGGTAAAACGACATTTTAGCTGATAAAAATGATTTTTGTTTTGAAGTTAATGCTTCTCAATGATTTATGATAACGGCATTGAGAAACAAAAATAGTAATTAAATTTGCAGCTAATTATTCAATATGCTCATTATAGTTTTTTTTTTCCTTCAACTTCATTATTATAATTTTTTTCTTTTTTATAGATAAAAAGGGTAGATATAGTTGTCAAGAAAGTATATTATTCCTCAATAATATCATGAGTTTGTTTAGATCGATGATAATGTGCTTTAAAATTATTGGAATAAAAATTCTAATCTTAGTCGATGTATTTACTGACTTGGAAGATATTTTTTAATGAAAAAAGAAAAGGTAATTTTAGCATTACATGAGCCTTAGTACAAGGAAAATGTATGCAGTAATTTCTCATTAAAATTCTTGTCCAATCATACAGAGAACTCTTTCTTTCTTTTTTTTCTTTTTTTTCAATTTCAAACAGGATATTTAAAATAACAAACCAAGAAATCATTTAGAATTTAGAAGCCTATTTGGCTCTCTCTATATATTTCTTGCTTGTCAAATAAAATTCAACTTGCTCATAAAGTTAATGCTATGTAATTGACAAAGTTATTTCATTTCGCCTTTTTCTTTTCTCATCTTTGATAATTCCCAAAATCACCTCCTCCAATCCATTACGTGTGCAGCAGACCAATACCTCAATTTTATACGATTTTGTTAGCTAGTAGTCAAGTCACCAACATAAACACCATTGAAGGAAAAAAAAAAAAAAGGGGGAAAGAAATTAAAAGATTCCATTCCTTGTAACAATGAGAATAAAACCTGCCTGCACGTCAACAACTATGTAGAACTGAGATGAACATTTCTTTTCTCCATACTAAACCAACAATTTTGACTTGGGAGCCACTACCTTCGTGCCCTCACGAAGCCAAATTTTTCGGTGCATATGCCTTGGAATGGAACATTATATAAGGGTGACAAGTAGAAGTCCATGGAGCATCACCGTACTTCCTCGCAGAGGCCTAATTAGAGGAGAAGTTAGCAATAGTCAACATAAAAACCATGGCTAGCCTTAGCTTCTTCTTGATAGCATTAACATCAGCAATGATCATCGGCAAATCAATGGCCATAGGTTATGGTAAAGTACGCGTACCACCGGTTTTCCGGCCGAGCCGATGGTCACTTGCTCACGCCACCTTTTATGGCGACGAGACCGCTCGCGAGACCATGGGTATGTGTCACTTCTTTTGTAATTTCCAATTAATTTGATTTGCTACTAAAAAAAACAAAAAAAATCAATTTACCATGTACAAAAAACATATGACCAATTAATTGATTGTATTCTTTTCTTGGGATTAATATATATAGGAGGGGCTTGCGGGTATGGAAATTTGTTTCAAACTGGATATGGAACAGATACAGCTGCACTGAGCACAACATTATTTAACAATGGATATGCTTGTGGGACTTGTTACCAAATAAAGTGCGTGAATGCCCCTGCATGCTATGGGGTAATTGCAACAGTGACTGCTACAAACATTTGCCCTCCGAATTGGTCCCAGGATTCTAACAATGGTGGATGGTGCAACCCTCCTCGGGTTCACTTTGACATGTCCAAGCCTGCATTCATGAAAATTGCTCAATGGAAAGCTGGCATTGTCCCGGTCATGTACCGAAGGTTTGCGTGCGCGTCTCATATTTATTCGGTTTTTGGAAGTCAAAACTATCTGTGGGCCAAATGTTTACGTCGTACGTTTTTGAACAAGCTTGATGGTGCTGCTAAGCACTCCTATAATATTAAATTCTTCTTGGAAGCAATTTTGTCATGAATTCTTTATTTCCATAAACAATGTAATTTGAGTACTCACAAACTGTGGTGCGAAGATCATCTAATCATGAAATAAAATTAAATAATCAACTTTCTTTTCAAGTTATCAGTAGAAAATGTTTCAAAATAAATCATAATTAAGCTTCTCATTAACCTCAATTGTGTATTTCTTGCAGAGTACCATGCGTAAGAACTGGTGGGCTTCGATTCCAATTCCAAGGAAATGGGTACTGGTTGTTGGTGTACGTGATGAATGTAGGAGGAGGTGGTGACATTGCCAACATGTGGGTGAAGGGAAGCAAAACAGGATGGATAAGCATGAGTCATAACTGGGGAGCTTCTTACCAGGCATTTTCTAGCCTAGGAGGCCAAGCTCTGTCTTTCAAGGTCACTTCTTACACAACCAAGCAGACTGTTATCGCATTAAACGCTGCTCCTTCAAACTGGCGTGCAGGGATGACTTACAAATCGAAGGTGAACTTCCGTTAGCGATGCCAAGTTCAATGCTACTCTTATCCCTTTTTTCCTAAAAGCCCTTTCGATGCCCTTGTTTTCCATTTTGTTTTTTTTTTTTTTTTTGGAGAGTTTTCTGTGTTGTATTTGACCCCTTTTAGTGTTTACCAAGAACGGAGTTTCACTTGCTGTAGTGAGATCTAGCAGAAGATGTCCAGATACTCCGATCCAATCTTCATTAATGCCTATATTAATACTAATTTTTCTTTCTTGCACTTCATTTTTGTTGTCATGTGTCACAATTTCAAAAGGTTATAAATTCCAATTTTTGGGCTTATCTTAAATTAATCACAAACAAATGGAAAGGCCATTTTTAGTTTCTGATAAATACTAGCAAGCGCAAAGCTGGTTGCAATCTCTTTAGATGGAAAATTTACAATACACTAGGTTTCTGAGATTTTTCTAAGTAGCAACAATTATGTCACTTTGTATGGAAAGACACCATTATAACAAGAAAAAGACTTGCAAGAACAAATTGTTCTTGCCGTAGGTATGCAAAAGGAATGAATTAATCGCATTAATCATCTTTTTATTGTTAATATATTTTTAACTTAGTTCTTCTTCTTCTTCTTTTTTAATCATGTTTTTTTTTCCTTAAATTTTCTTAATATAATTCTTTCAATAGTTTTCTAGCTAATACAAAAAAAGCACTTAAGCCTCCTTCAATGCATCAAATGTAAACCAACTATATGTGTGTATGCGCTAAGCAGCAGCAGTGCATTGTTCAAAGCAGCTCATTGTAAATCATAAAAACCAAGGTTATACAGAAACAGAGCATCATTCACTCTCAACCAATCTTTGAAGCTTCTCTAATTCTCCATAAGCAGCTGTGTGTAAACATCATTTGTCAAACTCTCTTCTCCAACAGAGCAACCCCATTATTACTATTGCCTCCATTAACAGCTTCTTATTCTCGATGCTTGGATTGGACCACCACATCTTCCTCCATTATTACTATTGCCTCCATTAACAGCTTCTTATTCTCGATGCTTGGATTGGACCACCACATCTTCCTCTACAATCTCAATCTCTGACGACATATTTGTTGATTGATCTATTGATTTGTCGATTTTGGTTTTAAGCTTTTCTAATTTTCTCATTGTTGAGAAAGTGCTTTATGTATTTTTATACCTAGATTTTTTTTCTTTTCATTTTCAGCTTTTTTTTTTTTCCTATGAGGTAATTTAACTGACATGACACGTATTATTTTTTTATCATATATTATATTATATCATATTTGTTTAAAAAATTGATCCAAAAACTATTGAAGATACCGCATTGAAAAAAAGAAGTAATAAATAAATAGATCATATTACAAACAATATATATATATATAAAGAGGAATGATTCACTCTATTAATACCAAATTTATTATGTATTTATTTATTATTAGCAAGAAAGTGATGAATTTTTTTATTTACATTCATCGACGTCCACCATCTCCATCTGGACTCGTAGACACATTAGAAGGAGAAAACAATTGGAATGCTCATGACAAGGCAAGGTAACATGAGACCCACCACGTTGTTGAAGTGGGAGACATGTCATCAACACAATTCGAGCATTTAAAGCCTTGATGAGGGACTACGCCTTCATTTCTTTCCCTAAGCACGCCTTACCCTTTTTCATTTCCTTTTGGCACCAAGTATCATCATCAGTCCACGCTCCAAATCATTTCTCCCTTAACCCACTTTACTTTACCTCTCCAAAAGTTTACCTTCTAACACAGACAGACAAAATCTTTGTTGTTGTAGAGATTTCATACCATCGCTGATTTAAGGTAATTTGCCTCCAAAATGCATGGGTAGAGAACAGAAGAGCACAGCAACAGTATATACAGTTCTGTTTGTTTCAGATGCAATAATTATTGCTTTTTAATCAGAACTGTCCAATTACATTTGAAATTGAGCACGATCTAAATTTTCCCCAAATGCAGAAACGCCAACTCTCAAATTTTGCTTCCAATTTGAACATTCTCATTCATCCTTGTACCCCGTAACGTAATAAGCATAATAAATCTTCAGATATATATGGTAAGATGGCAATCACATTTCACACTAAAAGTGACCTTTTTTATTACCAAGCATACTGATACTATGTTATGGAAATTGCCACCTTGGCATGAGCCACCTGAAATGTTTTGCATCGAAACTGTCAAAGCCACCCAACGCATATTCTCTCCAAGTCTCCACTATAAAGAAAGCCAAAACACAAGAACTTTCTTTTCTCTTTTCACTTTCTTGCTCTTTAATCTTCCAAAAGTTCCTTTCATCGTAAATTTTCCTAGACAGTTCAAGCTTTCCTCTTTCCAACTTCACTTCTGTTACATCCACAGTACCACAGGTAAAAAAACTACCTGATCTAGAAATTGAGCTCTTCTCTTTTGATGTACGCACCAGCCAAGAAATTCACAAAAAAAAAATAAAAATAAAAATAAAAACCTACACTGCATTGCCTAGCTTAATTAACCGCAACCCCATTTAAACCTAGCTCCTTATTCTGCGATGGGTTCTCTCTTCTCCCTCGCTTTGATAATTCTTCTTTCACTGGCTTCAGTGAGAATTGAAGCTCAAGAGATCAAATCAGCTCGTCTTCTTGATCTTCTCATTAGAGACTACACACTTAAGTCTAATGGCATACGCTTCAAGACAGGTATGGTGCACACTGTAGATTTACCAGCAAACTTATCCGGCATCAAAGTCGATACAGTGAGGTTTCGATGCGGCAGTCTACGAAGATATGGCGCACAAGTTAAGGAATTCCATCTGGGTATTGGTGTAACACTGCAGCCATGTGCTGAGAGACTCGTGGTAATTAGACAATACTTGGATCCTAAATGGTCCTCTATATATTATGCTAGCTATGATTTATCAGGATATCATCTTGTGTCACCTATTTTAGGCCTTTTAGCTTACAATTTTGGTAGTGATGTAAATGTTAGCAGCTCTTTTGAGATTGGAATTCATGCTGGAGAAAAACCAATTACCATAGATTTCAGGAATGCATCAAGTACTGCCAACGTATCGGCAATTAGGCCATTGTGTGCTAGTTTTGAAAATGATGGTAAGATGATATTAAAAAAACCAGCATCACCTTTTGTTTGTGTAGCAACAAGGCATGGACATTATGGTTTGGTGCTCAAGTCTCCACCAGCACCAGCACCACCACCAGCAATGCAGATGATGAAAAAGAAGATCAGCCTGTGGAAAGTGGTGGTTGGGAGCTCAGTTGGGACTGTAATTGCTGTCTTTTTATTGGGGTTGCTTTTGGTGGCAATGCTTGTTAAGGTAAAGAAGAAAGCAAGAATGGAAGAGATGGAAAGAAGGGCTTATGAAGAGGAAGCTCTTCAAGTATCAATGGTTGGTCATGTCAGGGCTCCTACGGCAACTCTTACTCGGACGGTGCCAATTATTGAGCATGAGTATATACCTTATCCTTCTTGAATTGTTCATTTTCTTTATGATCATTATTCTTTTTGTAATATTAGATCCAAGGACAAGGAATTTGTATTGAGAAGAAGGATAGATTCAGCCAAATTCTTTTGAGTTCTTTATATTGAGTATAAAGACAACTCTGTTTCTGATTGCTGTATGGTGATTTCTGTTCTTAGACTATAAACACTTGATGATTCATGTTAGGTAATTAGGACAATAATCTTTGTTTGTGACAGAATTTCTAGATCAGAATAAGATAGTAGAACTGATTCAAATTTTGAATCTTCAAATAGTATACATTCATCATATATGCAGAATTCCTTCTTTCTTTTTCTTTTTTTTATTGATGGGGGAATAGATAAGTAGGAATAAAGGATGCCGAAAAAACAATGTTTACGAAGGTAAAGTTGCTAAAGTCAAAGTGCTCATAATACTGTAATAGGAGGTTGAGAGGAAAAGAAGCAACACATCCTGTGATGCTGTTTAAGACAATGTCTCCTAAAATCATGGCAGCACAGGCAAGCACCTTTAGAATGAGCATCAAGAAAAGATTTTCGGAATACTTCGTGATCTGAGGCAAAGGCATACCTCATCCATGAACACAGAGACTGGCAGTATATAAGCTACCACTAAAGGTGCGAGGAAGCGTTGCTTAGAAAGTGGTTTTATTTTGATTACCCTTGAGAGTTAAGTTTGGGCATGTCTATAAATTGCTAGGCCAACGAGATTAAAAGGTGCAATTAACTAAGATGAAAGCATCACGAAACCTTCGTACCAAACAACGCTCGAAAGGAAAAACCCAATGCCGTCTAGAGTCTAAACAGCATAAAAAATTACCTTAGACGGAGTATAAGTTTGTTTTCCATTTAGACTTGTTTTCGGGTTTTGCCCATTATATAATCAAAGTAATTTTTTTTTCACGTGTCACATGTAAAATCTTAATAAAAAAATTCAATTAAAATAATTTAAAAAGTGTAGAAACTCAAATAACACAATTTAAAGAATACATAAACTAATTTATTTATTTATTTTTGTTTTTTTAATTTTCATATTATTGCTTTTAAAAAAAAATCTCATTCTAAATATATAAAATGTGTCATATGTAATACCTCATCCAAACAAAACTATGAAGTATATATATATAAATAAAGAAAATTTTATTTATAATAAGTTAAAAATGACATAATACTATGTGAAAAAAAGAAAAAAAACTGATATGTAATTATTAAAGCAAAAATATGGTAATATACAATATTGATTCACCATAGATCCTTAGTTAATGGATTTAGTCCTTTGTAAACAATAAGAAATTTCAAATATTTGACAAATTCAAAGTAAAAATAGGGTTGCTCCTTTAAAAATATTGTTGCTACCCAACGTCACACGAGACTCTTGAAAAATTCTAGGTTTTGGTTTGGAGATTCGCATCTCGTTTATGGGTATTCTAGGGATGCAAGTTATTATTTAATTTGGAGTCGTCATCTAGTATTAAGGAACTAGGAACCTAAAAATAGCACTGTACGAGATATTCTCGAGTAAGGAGTTGGTTACGTTTGAAAAAATATCGATCATCCAAAAACACCCTTTCATAAGAAGGGTACCAAATTTGGTTTAGTCCTAAATTTATCTCCTAAAGTGTTTTATTTGTACCAAATTATTTTTTGATTTAAACTCCAATTTTCAAATTAAATTAAGCTTTTTAGTTTTGGGTATGGCATCGTATTGAAAAGATCATCGATCCCTTTCGTTAGATGATATGTCGATTTAAACATTGGATTCACTTTTAGTGTCGACACAATCAATGTGTCGGAGAACATTCTAATTATTAAATGATAATTTTTTGGTAACGACAATCCCTATCAAATAAGAGACTTTGTCGAGAATATTTTTTTTTTAACTTTTTTGGTCAAACGACAGTCTCTATTAGACATGAGATTTCATTGAGAATTTTTATTATTTTTATTTTTTGGTCAAACAACAACCCTTATTAGATATGAGACTTCATTAAGAATTTTTATTATTTTTATTATTTGGTTAAATGACGGTTCCTATAAAATAGGAGACTTCATTAAGAACTTTTTTATTGTTTTTTTCGTTAAACGGCAGTTCCTATCAAATAGGAGATTTCGTTGAAAATTTTTATTATTTTTAATTTTTATTATTTTCTTATAAAAAATTATCACCAGTTCCTAAAAATTAGGAGACTCGACAATCATTTTAATTATCTATCTTAATTACTAAAAAAATCCCAAAATTTTAAAGTTAATTAAATAAATTTTAAAAAAATGACTAAAATATTGAATCCAAATAAATGCTAAAAAAAAAAAAAGATTAATAAAAATACTCGGACTATAGTAAAAAATAAAATCAAGAATATTCAAAGAAATCTTTTTAGGCCCCAATCCCATTGTCCCATGCCTTATTCTCTCCTACTCATTTTCTTTTTCTTTTTTTTCGGCTCGACTAATTCTAATTTTTTTTATTTGCATTTTTTTCTTTTCTATTTTTTATTATTTTATTATTTTTTATTATTTTTTGAGTGAAGTCGGACTAGTCCCGACTTTCCGACTATTCATTTTTTTTTTTTATTATTTTTTTTTTTGTGGAAAAGAGTGGGGGGGTAGAAGCCGGATCGAAAACCGAGCTTCATCCTCTTTTTTTTTTTATAAAACAAAAAGCCAAGGCTAGACTATCTTTGTTTAGCTTGAGTTGGGGTAAGCCCAAACCACGTTTTTATCTCTTTTTTTTTTTTTTTTTTACCCGGGACTAGGCTAGACCCGTAAACACAACCCAATAACCATTTCCTCTTTATTTTCAATCAAATCCCCCTTTTTATCCAATTCGACTCCTCTCTCTCATGTTCTTATTGTTTTTCATTTTCTCTCTCTATTTTACATTCTCTAGAAATAAATCTTAGTTTTAGACCAACGAGTTAATTGACTACCTTGTTTTCATTATTTCAAAAGAAAATTGAAATCCAAGACGAATATAACAAAAGAAAGTTAAATGATAGTAACAAAATAAATCGAAACTGGGAAAAAGAAGAAAAAAAAAAGGAAAGGAAACTGACTTGAAATTTCTAAAAAAAAGACAAATGATTGTTGCCTTATGAAATGGATGGATGAGAACAAAATGTCGGGATGACTTTCGGGGGATAAGGAGGTTTACAATTGGTCTTGATGGCTTGGATGGTAACTAGAATCCAAGAATCAAAACCCAAAAATATGAACACAAAGAACTAGTGAAGAACGAGCAAATTGTTGCTTAGAAAGTTTTAAAGGAAAATCCAAAAAAAAATGCAAATCAAACACAAGAAACTAGTGAAACGGATTAAAAACAAACAAGAAATTCAAAACGAAAGCCAAGAAAACAAGGAAAAGCGAATTGAACCGCCCCACGGTAAGAAGCAACAACCTAGAAAATGAAAAACAACACACTCCCGCCCAAAAAATTTCCGGAAAGCCTAGAAAGTGTGAACCGCCTAAAAATCAACAACCCCTATTTCGTCCTTGATTTCACTCTCTCTCAATCGAGAATTCAAAACCCTTTTTCTTCCTCCCTCTTTTTCAAAGCGAAATTCAAAACCTTTTATAGGTCAACACTTGCTCAAATCTCTTCCCAAAAGCAGCCCCTTCAAACTTAAATTCACTATCAAATCTCAAATTTGAGATTCGGTTAGCTAAATACAAGGAAATGGATCGGTGGTTGCATAATTCTCGATTGGTATGAATTCCAGCCATGAATCACAATAAATTCAAATTCAAAAAAAAAAAAAACACAATTAGTGAAAGATTTGGACATATTTTTTTTTAGTGATTTTAAAGGGATTCGGATTGGAGTGGAAGACGGGTCATTCGCTCAATTTCAATCCTCTTGTTCACTCAAATATTCCAATTTGGTCCCTATGAATTTTAATTGTCCGCAATCATTCCATCTTGCTCGTATAATTTTAATCTTTACAAAGTATAATTTTATCAATTGGGTCCTTATAAGGTGTAATTTGGTTTCGAATTTCCCAATCAAGTCGATTATACCCCTAATTACTTTAATTACATTTTCTCTTAGTGCAATTATGCCTCTTGGTGAATTTTATCTATATACTTTCCTTTTGTGTGTGTGTGTGTGTGTGTTTGTTTTTATTTTTATCATTTTTTTTTGTAGTAAACTCAAAAATAAAAAAATGAAATAAAACAAAATAAAATAACATAATAATAAATATAGAGAAACTTTGGGTTATGACAAATACTAGAAATTGCAGCACATTTTTTTCTTTGATATAGATAAATTAGCCACTAGTTAGTATTACTATTGTTTTTATTTTAATTTTTACGAACATATTTGTACTATTTTTTTTAATCGCATGTTAAGTTTGTTTGGGTGTATTTTATTATTTTTAAATTATTATAATAATTTTAAAAAAATAATATTTATGATGGTATTGTTATAAGATTCCATATTTGAAACGTTTCGTGACATTGAAGCTAAGGTCATAAAAAAAACAATAACACGAAAAATTAAAAAAAATAATTTAGTGTTTGCACTCTTTGAATTGTGTTGATAGAGTATATATATTTTTTGAATTATGTAGATCGAATCCCTATATTTTTAAATTATCTTGATTAAGTTCATGTACTCTTCGAATTGTTTCAATTGAGTCCTTTATGTATGATATGTGTCACGTATTTAGGGATGGATGTTTTATGTTAGTTCTAAAACATTATTATAAAGAAGTGATGAAAATAAAACAAAATGAATAATAGATAGATCGGATCAAATAAATAAATAAAAGAGAGAGAGAAAGAGAGAAAGTATAGGGATTGAATCAAAATAACAAGGACTATATATGGCCAAAATCTATTTTTCAATTAAAAGATTTTCCTCTATGAGTCTACAACTTTCAATTTAATACTATCATTACTTGGCATACATTGCATCACTAGTAAAGATCTTAAGAGATCAATTGTTTCCCTCCTTTTCAAATAGTGTAGTTTTAAGCATTCTAAGCGACT